GCTTACATGCATGGTTGGCAGGTAGAGTTTGTGGAGCTAGTATTGTCAGGAGCTCCGGTGCATTGGGCACGGCTCCTGTGGAAGGTGACGCGCCAACATGCGCAAGAAGAGAGGGGAGGAACCCTCAATCATCTATCGCCTTACTTAATCGTGTTTTACCGGGCGATGGGATGTTTGACGAATGCTGAGAAAACTCGGTTTCCGCAGCTGACCCGGACTTATCCAGGTAGATATTCGAGGGAGGCCGAAGTAGACACGGATCCGGACGAGGAACCTGCCAGTACGCCTCCGGCTCCGGCTCCAGCAAGAGCAGCAGAAGAACGTCGAAGTGAGCGCATTCCGCGAAAGCGGAAGTGGGATGAGAGACCTGAGGACAGGCAGCCGGAAGTACCAGCTGCGCCGACTCGTGGTCGGCCCACCCCCGAGCCTCACAGTCGACCAAAACAGAGGGCACGCAAAATGCCAACTGTTACTGAGGAGACCAGGCGAACTCCGACCCGGCGGAATCTCACACAGGAAGAGATAATCGCTCAGATCCTAGGGAAGACGGCAGAAACCTCTGCACAGAAGGCACCACGGCCTTCGGGAGGAGATGGACGGACTGACAGCCGGCCGGCTGCGAGTCGGATGACTGAAGGTCGACAAGCGGAAGGAAGGCCAACTTAACGGCGCGTTGAACCGGACAGCAGGCCGGAAGCAGAAGAGAGTTTGGTTGACGAGCCAACAATCCTCAGAGGGTCGTCTTCGGCGGAAGGCACTTCTGGAAGAACGCCACCAACAAGCAGGCCAAGTGGAGTCAAGACGCGCAGGGTGTATCCGACTCCCAGTCGGACAGCTGCTGGTCGGCCGACTGCGAGTCGGACAACAGAGAGTCAGTCGGATTCGCCGACTGCGAGACGGATGGGGCCAACGACGAGTGTGCGGACGCCTTCGGCGGACGCACCTTCAGCAAGGACACCTTCCGCGCAGATTGCGCCGGAAGGACAGGCAGCAGAAGCGGGCGGATCAAGAGTGACAAAAGTCACTACGGCGTCGCCCCTTTCACAAACCGAAGATCAAGCCGGAACAGGGGCTCAAGCAGTGGGATCTCCCACTGCTCTGGATATTTTAGCAGGCAGTGGAGCAGCAGTCGCAGCGGAAGCTGCTGCGCGCCACAGTTCCAGGGAGTCGCCAAGGGATTCGGTGGCGACTGAAATCCTCGAGACTGAGGATGAGACGAGCTCGGAAGAGCAAGAAGAGGATTCGGTGCAGAAAATGCCAACAGGGGTGCTGTGCGAACAGATAGTTCCACTCCTGCGATATCTGGATCGCAAGACATCCAAATACGCAAGTGCCTTAAAACCGCAGTCTTATGTGGAGACAATCAGGCGAAGGACGAGGAGCAAGGTGGCAAGGTGGGCCTCTAGGTGCCAAGTATATGTGGATAGGAACACCGCCCTCCGACAACACCTGGCGGTCACCCAGAAGCTATACCAAGCCTTGCAGCAGCAGAAGGAGGATGCGGCGACGAAGAGTCAGGCGGATGCCGAACTAATACGGGCAAAGATCGAGTCGGAATTGCAGGAGGAGCGGAGACAGAACAAAGTCCTAGCAGCCGAGCTTGCGCGCCAGACGCGCGCCTTAGAAGAAAGTCAAAGAGCCCGCAAGGAGGATGAGGAGTTGTTGCGCAATTTGCAAACCGAGTGCTCGGATTTGAGGGCACAACGTGCGGAATTAGAAATGCAGCTGGCAGAGGTGGAGAGCAGCTGCAGGGCGCGAGGAGAGTTGGCAGCACGGGTGACTCGTTGTCTAAAAGGATACACCCATTGGGAGGTGGTAGCTCAAGAGAGGATCACACTCAGGGAGTTCGAGCTTCGGGCGGCGGCACTGACGGAAGGTGACAGTCGGAGTCGGCGGCGAGTGGCGAGAAAATTAGAAACCTTCTTGTCGGGTGCGCGCGACACTATGGCGCACTTGCAGTCGGAAGTCACCACAGCGCTCCGACGCCTGGGGTTACGCAGCCGGTCGGAAGACTGGCAAGGTAGAGATAGTAAGCGGAGCAGTCCGGCGCGCAGGAGGCGCAGCACCGGATCTGCTGAGTGCAGTAGAGTAGTTTGGTTTCGCGCAGATGCTGCGAATGGTAGATAGGATAGTGTAGTGCTAGTTAGGATCTTTTGAGAGTATAAAGTAGATCAAGGCGTTTTGCCTTGGGACTCTTCCAGTTTCGGAAGTGCAGATCAGGAACTCACTTTCTTGGCGTGTTTGTGCATTTTGGTCCTGGCACCACGTAGAGAAGCTGCAGCATAGCGAAGTTACCGTATGTTGTAGTTGAAGGCCTTCGGCTGAATGTTCAGAGCTAGCACCCGGTTAGAGACTTGAGTAGTGCGGATCTGCACCTGCGGGTGATTTCTGATGCTCAGAGCCGGCTGCGAGTTAGATACTTGAACAGTTCCCCCTTACTCCTTCGAGTGACATATCCTGATTGTACTCCTACGGGAAGTTTCCCCTGAATGCCAATGTGAAGTTTCATTACTTCGTGTAAACCTTGGTTTGTAATTCAGGTTGTGTATGTGTTACTGGATCGTGTTTTCAGTAAGTTCTCAGTCGGGTCTGCACTCCCTGCGTTTTGTGTGATAGTCGAGGGTGACGTCCACGGCGTACGTAGAGGCTTCGTTCCGAAGTGAGAAGTCCAGTCCGGGTACCCCCGCTAGTTCCTGGCGGAAGGGCAGTAAAAGCCGGAGTGGGAGGCACTTCCTGCAGAACCTCTGAGTGAACTCGCGAGACACTTTCCTCCTGAAATCCGAAGCGGAGGTCCTGACCGACCTCCGAGTTGTGCTTTTTTGCCAGTTTCAGGTGTGTGTGTGTGTGTTGAGTGACCAAGCTGTACCGTGCATCCTCCGAGCATCCTCCGAGTTGAGATCCTCCTCCGAGTCGAGCCTCCGAGTCGAGCACTGCAGTATTTCTGGGAGTGACAGTCGCCTAGAATTCAAACTCTACCAAAAGTCTGTTAAACGTGACACTTTTACTCTGTGTGTTGCCTCTGTCCCTGTGGGTTCGATCTTTTTACCACCATACTGCAAGTTTTAGCCTTTGGTGGGTTATTACAGCGCCGTACACTTTCTACCTCACAAGGCGCATTTCTAGGGCCCAAGGCGGATTTCCCGCCGACGCCAAAGCGCCTGTGCGTAGGCGAACTTCGCGCCTACCTCAAACCCTATTTCGCCTGTGCACAGGCGAACTTCCTTCGTCCGCGCATAGGACAAAACTTCTCCGCCTGTGCGCAGGCGAAGAGTTGAGTATCTTACAACCTTCATAACTCCCGGAGTCCTTATCCGCTGTTGGTGTTCTTGGGCTCATTGGAATCAGTGCGTCGAACTCTTTCCAACCAGGCCCTAACTAGGTCAAGGCGTCCGGGGGTTGACCTAAATATGAAGGATTTCCCTACCGCCGCAGACGCAGCTCCGAAGGCGGGTTTTGCGCCTTGCGCCGTAGGGATCCTAACTGCAGAGCTCGCAGGGAGGGTGGTGCCCGTGCTTACTGCTGCACCCAACTCCTAGATTCTACGAGATCCCTCGAGAATCTCCGCGATCTTCCGAATTCACTCTGTTTTGATGCACCGAAGGCTATTTACATTGCTGCCAGGGTACAGTTTTCCAAAAATGTTTTAATTTCCTCAAAATTACCAAAAGTGGGGTACCACACATATGCTTGTGGGTCTTGGCGCGACTTTTATCAAAGGGGCCAGTCTCTATCGTCTCGACCTGACTTGATCGGCACGGATAATGCGAAGGTTCTATTAGAGCAGCAGGATCGTTTGGCTACTTTTCCAATCGGGGAAGCTATGGCTGTTTTAGAACAAAATTAGGGATACCTCTTGGTCAGTTTTTCTACCTCCTTTCAGTAGACCCGTGGCTGCTGCACCATATGGCCAGAGGCCAGACAGTTGAAGGACAGGAAGTGGTTGTGAAAGTCCAGCATCCAGACATGTTATTTACTGTAGCACATCCTCCGACTCAGGTTGGGACTCGTGCGTAAGGTGGCTGGGATGAGTTCGGACATATCTATCCGGGCAGACGAGCTTGGACGGGGTCTGTTTGATGAACTTGACTACACATTGGGAGCAGCCAATGCCATAGCGCTCAAAACAGCGCATGCCAAACTGTCTTACGTTAAAGTATAAAAATAAACTCCTCCTCACCAGACGAGTAAGCGAGTCTGACCATGGAGTGGATAGATGGATTCCGCACTGCTGACCTGCATCTGATAGCTCAAGGAGTAACTATCAGTGGCGAGGTTATACAGTCACAGTGCGAAGCGAAGGTTGTGCTTGGTAATCTGGTGAAAAAGGAGGTGGAGTCTTCCCTTGTTCAGCTGTGGGAGACGGGCGTAATGCATGCGGACCCACATCCTGAGAACCTATTATTCACGAAAGATGGCAACTTGACCTACTTGGACTTTGGACTCATCTGCCACATGGAGAAAAGTCTTCAGGTAGCCATGCTTGCTGCTATCTCACATCTGGTGAATGGAGACTGGGTATATCTTGCCAATGATCTGGATGATATGAATGTTTTGAAGCCAACAACAAATAGATATGCTCTTCGCCTGGCTCTAGAGCGGGTTTGCGGTGACAGCTCGGATACAGGACTTCTTACAGTTGGATAATGACACTAATAATGCAAAATTATACGTCTATACAAAGTATAGACCAAGGACGGTACGACTTCTCTTTTGGCCAGTCGACACAGCACATCGAATGTGTGGTCAGTTTGGACATCGAAGGAGGTTCCCGAGAACTGAAGCTGTAAATTTAGATATATTTCCATGCATCTTACTCTTTTGTAGTGGCAAGACAGCATCTATTGCTCCAGATCCAATGAAGCATACCTTGGCTTATGGTAACGCCCCGTTGATCGAGGCACGTACTCTTCCGCGTCAACGAATTATGTTATGTTACACTTGGCATTCCACGATCTCGAAATTTATTAAATTTTCATTTGGTAGACAACACTGTACCATGTGAGGGACCCATGCCCATACTATTTCTAGCCTAGATGGGTGGCGCGTGCGCAGCTGTCGGAAGGATCCTAGTCTAGTACATCTCCAGTGTCAGCTCAGAAATGCGATCTGTACGACGCTCTACTCGTAGTGTCGTCCACAACCAGTTTGACAGCCTTTGAGTACACCCCTTCTACGTTCAACCCGAACAAAAAGGTAGAAGCGCCGAAGAAGGAAGGTGTGCCTTCAGAGTGAGGAGAACCCACCCTCACAAGGCGTACTAGAACGCCTCTCCAACACAACGGCCCTGACAACCTCCTGCTTGTTAGTTGTTACAGTGATGCATGCGCTTGCGGGGGGGCCATCTCACCACCAACGAAAAGTAGCCTGGTTGACTTCCGGTGACACCGATATTCTCCGCGACGCATCCTTTCCGTCTGTCGAGCCCACAACACCTGTCGAACCCAGCGCATGGATTTTCAGCTTGTAATGTAGGGGTTGCTATTTTGAGCTTGCTGTTATCGCGATGCGCACCCTTTCCATTCGCCCACTATCTTACTAACATCCTGCAATTGATAAAAATAAATTGCAGGATGTTCTTATAAGATAGTGGGCGAACATGACCGCATCGCCACTACAGGATTTTCTCGCATGAGCGATCGTCAATTGGCACTCTGGGACGCGCGCAAACCGGGAGAGCCCATCGAAGGATTCACCATCCTGCATAGCATCTCCGGTGTGTGTATGCCGTTCTGGGACGAGGGCACGCAGTGCTTGTACCTTGCTGGAAAGGGGTGAGTAATTGCGATGACTTGAATGACCTTCGTAGATTACTGATAACGAGAGTGACGGTAACATTCGCTACTACGAGTACGAAAACGATAAGTTTGAGTATACAAATCCCCCCAACCTCAGCGTGGCATCGCCTTTCTACCCAAGCGCAGCATCAACCTACACGAGAACGAGGTCCTTCGTGGCCTCAAGACTGTCAACGATACCTACATCCAACCTATCTCCTTCATTGTCCTTAGGCGTGCGGAGATGTTCCAGAGCGATATATTCCCACCCACGACCGGGATCAAGCCAGGCACTACTGCCTCGGACTACTTCTCCAACCTTCACGCTCCCCGTCTGATGGAGCGGGGAGCGTGAAGGTTACTTTCCTTACTTCACGTCTGACGGAAACACACAGTCACATTTTATATAATAAAATGTGACTGTGTACAGGCAGCAGTTTGAATTTGTTGCGCTCTGCGCTGATGGCCTTGACCCCCTCGATGCACAAACTGGCCGAGAAAACCTCCACTGCAAGCGTCCACTCCGCCCACGAAGCCAGCGTTGGCGTTCGTAGTGGGATTCGTGCCCATCTCTTCGCGCCTGGCCGCTTCGTCTTTTACCTACATCACAGCTGCAAGTATGGCCCTGAGGAACGTGATTCAAGGTCTTACGTGAGATTGCTGTCGAAATCATTACCCGCAACCTTATTCACCGGAAGATCATCTATAGTATATTCGGTGGCTCGGTATCGGCTTTTGTCCCATGGCTCCTCCATTTTCTACGTTTCAATGCATTCCCACAGGTCCAGAAACAGGACGACATCCTTGAAGCCAAGGAGTTCGGAAAACTCGGACGCAAGCCGGAGACCAATATTCTCGCAGCATGTTGCCCACTCAAAGTCTGTTCATTATTGCCGCTTGTTAGGGGGTTCGTATCGGTTTGGTATCTGTGATTCGATGCACATTATATAAGCCCAGTCCCCCACCAGCAATTTCTGTACACTTGCACAACCCTTCTAGGAAAAGCAGCAAAGGGATCCGATCCTGCCAATCTCATATATAGAGCCATCTTTACTCCCTCCTTTTTCTCATCACAGGTTCGATATGACGAATCTTCCGAACAACCGTCAACTGGACCAGGCCGTCAGCGCCAGCGGGCAAGAGGCCAATATCGAAAGGACTGCACCGTCGGCTGCCCTGACGATCCTTCCGAGCGGTCGTACATTAGAGAAATGCTTCAGTGCCATGGGACGGGAGTTTACCATCGAAAGACCTCCCGGCAACAAGCCGTCGGATACTGCGCCAACTGTAGCTTCCAGCAACAACTCGATCAAGACTATGAAGGCGAAGGCGGACTTCGGTATCACGGTCGATTGGAGGCATGGGGGGCCTTTGAACTGGAAACCCACCTCTAAAGACGTTCAGGAAACAGCAGCCATTACTCAGTACATGTTGATAGACCAGGGGACCGATAATGATGGCGATATAAGTTGCACCCTCTACTTTACAAACACCGAACACTATGGGTATCACTTCTACGATCACACTGGTGACAGTTACTGGGTCAGTACCTGGAGGAATGGTGATCATAGCGTCGGTTATTCGTCCCAGAAACCTGATATCAATTTTATCACCGGCGATTAGCAAGTTATATGGAGGGGTCAAGTGGGAGCCTCCATCTTCCAGCTGCTTATTGACCATTGTGTTGGTTGCTCTCCTTGCATTGATCGGATCGAAAAGCATTCAGGGGCCTGAAAGAGATCAATTGATGCATCGGTACTATAAAGCTTGCTTTGCTCATAACAATCTACGTTCAGAGTATATTCTGAGGTAAGACATTATATAGAGCTTACGGAAGTGTCGCATGTCAATTGTGGTATTGTGGCTGCCTCATCATCCACTGCGATGTAAGACCATACCTTTCGCGATCCTCTCTTCTCCATATGTCTATAGTATCTTAGGGTTCTGTAGGATATGCACCGTAATTATCCTCATGTAGCCCAGATTTATTCCTTCTGCATTTAGGCATTCGATTTCATAGCAAGGAGCAGACTGAGGCGTTGGCAGTGCAATCAATCAATATCGGTATACGATAATAATGTACGGTAACAATCAATATCACTTGAGTTTGACGGGTGCACAGGAAACTACAGCTGCCCAGTAATAAATTATTTATTTTGCATAATTGGTTATAGTAATTTTCACGATAACATGGCCTAATAGTTTATTTAAACGCTACATTTTCAAAGTGATCTTGACCAGCGACCAGAGTCTAGCTCCACTAGCGATGGCTCATCAGTGTTGGCCAATGCCGCGAGTGCATTCAAATCGAGCTGTTCGTGCCCGCTCCAGAAGACATGACCCGAGAAGCATCTTTTAGGTGGCATATCACAACGCGGAATTTCTTCGCATTCGTATTCGGGAAGCCGTTGGTGGGTGCCCATTTGGGGCAGGCCATGATTGATCTTCAGCAGCGAATGCGCCTTTACCGGTCTGGACGAGTGGACAATCAGCAAGGCTTTCTGGACTATGCCGATGCTCAAGGCTACCGAAACTTCGTAGAGTGCCCCGACTATGTTTGGCTATTCTTTATTATGCCGAGCATTACAAACTACGACATGTCTGGATCGATGCCTTTGCACACTGCGTAGGTATGAACGAGCGACTGGACCTCAGTCCAGAATTTCCGGTAAGCTCGCTTGGTATCTTGTCGTGGAGTCATTTAGACATGCTGCAAGCCACAATCACGTCTAACCAAGGCCCTCATCACCCGCGCTTACTTGGAAATGGACATTGAACTGGGCCGGATCACGAGAGCTGTGCGCAACTTCCTCGAAGACGACCTGTCCCCCACATACCTCGGGCTCACCGACCGTGCCCGCCTTCACCTAGATCGGTTCAGGTCATTCTTGAACAGCTTTTACGTGGACAAATTCGGTTATTGGCCTCCACCCAACGGCACAAGATTTTCCAAGGCGCTATATCGGTCACTGTATTATGATTTCAAGAGCTTGTACGACTATTTGGCTGACTCCGAATCCACGATCGATTTTGCATCGCAGAGACTGGCAAGCGACGGCATATGCGTCCTACAAAACCTTGTAACTTTTGATAAGAGGCACAAATTCCCGCCTCTGCTACATGCCCTACCTCTTTTGCCCGACGAGGTTGCGTTGAGAAGGAAAACGGACTCGCAAAAGTCTTTTATGACTTTGACGTTACGGTCCAAGCAAAGCAAGAATGAGCGCCATCTAAGCGCCTGCGCAGCTCTCGCTATGGCGACGAACGGCGAAAATACCCCACGTACAGATTCACCAATCATTCAAGCTTATATGAGCATTACGCTTGTAGCGGCAGTGCATTCCAAGTCATCGAGAAGAGAAGGTATCCATGGCCGATGCCCGCAAGGTTAGATGGCTCTTGATTTACGGCACGCTGCAGTATCTTGCATCGGCGCTCCGGGCACCAGTAGAGGTCCGCGATACCGAAGGCCCTAATTATTACCTATGTTGCTTCGTCGCCGAACATTCTCAATGGCAATGTGGGGTGAATGTGCCGCCCTCTTCGAGCAGTTGCTCAATCGATGATACTACCGTTTCCGAAAAAGATAGGGCCCATCCCAAGGTCGATTCTTCGAGTACATCGCGTACAGCAATTGAACCAGGATTCACCTTACTTCATCTCATCAATTATTGTTTATTATATATAAACTAATTGATGAGACGAAGTGAGGTGGACGAATGAGCGTGACGCGTGCCACGCTGCGTCTGCCAAGCTACGTGCGCTAGTGCACCCGTCGCGAGCGACGCCAAACACGCCCGCAAACATTGTGCTCTGACAGCAAACACCAAACCTAGCCTTGTCTACGCGTCGATTCGTAATAGCTACCCACACGTGCGAACCTTCGCTTTTTTTTCTCAGCATGGCGCCCACGCGAAAACGCGAAAATCGCGAGAATCAATTTTACAATGTTGGTGTTCAATGAAGGTGAGTACACGAAAGCGCAACCCCTTAGACGCGTCGCGTTTACTGATAATGTTAGGAAAACTGGCATCACGCTATATTTGTTAGTATAGATAGATAACGCCTGAATCGGTCACACGACTCTCGCGGCGACTTAGCTAAGAGTCATGTTCATTGCTACCCGCACGTTACTCAATCGTAGAGAAACGGGGTGATTATGCCGTTTAGACGACGACACGTCAAGGTCAATCCGTGCAAGCCTCTGAGTTTCTGTGCGTTCTCTGCTCGGCGTGTGGCCTCTTCCCTCGGTGAAGGGAAGTGACCACGGACTATTGTGAGGTGCTGTAAGATCTCTAGAAGAAGTTCCCCAGCGAGCTCGCAGAACATGGCAGGATGGTCAGAATCCGCAGAAGACGTTGGCATTGAAGGTTGCTAAAGCGGGCTACAAAGGCAGCACGTCGGAGGTTATCGGCTAGCGTATGCAAAGTGAGCGAGCGTAAGAACCATTTTCGCCTAGCATAGGATCCCTACGAACACCAGTGCACGGCCTTTGAATGATCCCTTCGTCATTCGCATCTTCAAGGAATCGTACTGCTTCTGCACAAGCTGCATATCCTACATGTACATGAATGGGTAATCATCCAACATCAGGTAGTAAGATCTAACAGATGTCCCGCGGAATAAGCGAGTACATAGATATTCAGCATACAGCAGTAATAAATGTCCTTCCTCCCGGAACCAGTCCGATGAGCTTACACGCAATCCGTGTGGGGCAGCTTGGTCGAGGATTATCGCAGCATGCCTCGCTCTGCGGGGATCTGTTATCATGAAGCATGAAGTCTCGTCAGATGCAATATCCTTTCAGCTGGCTGCATATCAACGTTTTCAAGAAAAATTATTACAAAGTCTCCACATTTTATCTATTCTTGTTAGCACATAATCTTTTCGAATCTTATACACAGTCTGTATCATTGGATATTTTGCATCTCCTTGGAGAACCTTCGCCGGCCATTCTGTAAGCTGAGGATTAGTATTGGGAAAGGAGAGATTCTAATGAAAGAGTTCGGAGGCAATGCGTTGGATTTTATGTGGATATGATGAAACGGCTACGAAGGGATCGTCGTTCAGGATGTTGGATGAAATTCAGAGTCTGGAGGTGATAGGAGGAGCAGTACGAAAATAGTGAATCAGATATATCGAGAAGAGATGTAATGTGATCTTAATCATCAGAACACCTTGCTTACATACTTTTGAGCCTGCGCGTTCAGATAGACTTTTGGACCTTCAGAGCTGAATGTGAGGTAAGATGTCCTGGTCGTTGATACAACAAATGGTGAGACTTCCAGGAAATCTCACTTAGATGGAATTAACGGCAGGAACGACAGCCGCAGTGATCATTGACAATCTGAGTAATGCAATCCGGCGAACAGAATTTTCCTCGGAGACCTTCGAGTAGTATTACCATTTACTTTGCAGCTGTGGTCCATCAAAATTGACATAAAGGTCTGAAACCTTGGAACGTTCTGAACCTGACGTATACTGCCCGTTAGTCAATCTCCCGTGGAAGGGTGTCTCATGCTTTGCATATTCAGAACGTATTAAGGAGTGTTGGTAGACTTGGACTGGAATATGTTAAACTCGTTGACTTCAAGCTGGGTGAAGGTAAGGTAAGCATGGGTGAAGGTCAAGACGTAGTCCATGTCGAGCTCGTGGTCAGACACAGCGGCCGAGGTCTCCGCCCAACTAGCCAACATGTAGTTCTCTCCGTCGGAAATGCCCTGCGCTCGCACTTAGCCAAATCTTTTTTTCGGGTTTTGGGTCGGCTACAGCACTCTACCCGAACCCTATCGGGTCCCTATCAAGAAATAGGAAATGGAATAATATTTGAAGTTTTGGTTGTTCAAGTGATATTACCTTGAATTCATTTTTACTGAAGATTTGGAACGAAAGTTACCCACATTATGAATCGTGACTGATTCTTAGTCAAATGCGTATGTTCTTCATTGAAAACCTGGAAGTCAATAGCATTTAACTGAATGCTAATCAAACGTTTCATGTTCAAATCTAGTTATTGCATATTCATACTTGTGTTGTTGTTTCAAGTAATAAATTCAAATAGATTGAAGAATATATAAAATATACACGCGAGAAGTTATAATTTTGTTTAGCTAATGCGCACATACATCGAACTGTTTAACATTCCATTAAGAGGAGAGAATCACATATTAACGAGCTGCACTCGAACGCACACGAGGTGATGTAACGCATTCATAGAGTGGAATATTGGTGAGAAAATTTAGTTTTAGAATCTTTCACCTCATATAAATTCAAGGATTAATCCAAAATTGGAAAACTGTAATTTGTTCACCTTTCATGTTTGTGTATAGTCTTTGTATTGTTAAAAAGCCGTTGAACATACTGGGCATAATGGAAGGCCTAGGATGTGATTTTAAATCACGTTGATTCCTGTTGTGTTTGAAGGCAACGCAAGGTTCTGTCGATGCACTCATCTGGAAGTTTGCAGTAATACTCTTCCTCCTTAAACTGGCTGTAAGACAAATATCTCATCCACGGCTCCAGCAACGTCAACTAATGTACTTGTTCAGCGTTGCTTCAAAAGAACGGGCAGATTGTAGACAAAGCATACGTGTCCACTGTCACCGAGCCTCTACATATATTTACTGACGCTTGATGATGTGTTCTACCTTTTTAGAATTTCCTGTATCTGAATAGAGGAATTGGACACATTGTATCGCGAGGAAATCATGTGATATTGGTGCGTTCCAGGAATCCAACCTCGACAATTTTTCATGTACAGGTCAATTGCGGGATGAAACTCAGGAGCGGCTGCAGATCTCAGCCGTTCATACGCAAGTTCCATTTCAGCGATTCTGTCGTGCACTAGTTCGACTACAAGCTCTCCTGCTTGTGTGTAAGATTGGCAGTTGTATTCATGAAATACGAGATATACCAAAGTGCTCTTATGGTCATTGTACAATAGTTCCTGTATAAGAAACGACCATTGGAGATAAGGAAGCTCGAAGTCCAGACACTATTTCGTATAATTATCAGGCACTGCTTACGTCAAGGAGTGAAGTAGTGTAAAGTCACCCGTCTGGCCGAGTGAATCTGAGAGACACATATGATGCGGAGTGGGCTGCACTGAACGTACCTTCTGGAAACCGAAAATGTCATTATGCCAACATACGATGTCAGTAATAGCGGCCAGCATATTCTGCATATCTTCTCCGTAGAACAAGCTGTCGGGAAGATGGGAAATTGGAGATTTCCTTCTTTTATGCTCAATCATCCGATCTGAGAAAACCTGCAGTAGACGAAACCCCTCAACACTTCTGCAATTATACCTTTTATCCGAACAAAAGTAGGAAAGAAGAGAAAAGGTTCGTGATGTTATCTGTAACTCACAATTAACGCCCACACTCCTCCGGCTTGTCGTCGAAGGCTGATGTAATCAGACACACTGAGCTTTGTTCCTTTCATTCGACCTATTACTTCTGAGAGACAGCCCGTGATGTACTGTTGAAATGCCTCAGCCTCTCTCGACATACACTCAACAGGCAGATCTTCGATATATTCCAGCCACAGCTCTCGAAATCCCGACATGAACGCTCCCAAATTGACATCGAGAACTGCGAGATTTGGAGCAATAGTTAGTCGGCTTCATCACACAGCTTCATCTCAAATTTAATTCAACCTGACTCGCAGCCTATTTATGAATCCTAATTCTGAGGTGGATTATCTCGAAGCTCAGGCCCTCATGGCTAGTCTGACGGTATGATTCCTTCTAACATCCAACTTACTCTCCGCAGGGCTTATATCACATTGACCGTGGCCATCAGTTCCAGCATGACAAAACAATTCATTGGACAAATCAGTAGTTGACGTTAACAGAAGACAGGTCATAATCGGAAGAGATTTTTTGTCCAAATCACAAACAAAAATTTTTGTGATTTCGTTTTGTTCCTGGCATGCACCAGATCTGCATGAATTGTGTGGAGCTGCGCGCGTTTTCTGGAAGCCTCAGTCTCCATAAACGTATCCAGAATGGATTTCAAGCCTTCCAGTAATCGCTCGTTGTCAGGGTCATTCCACAAGAGAACCAAATTCATATCTAAAATTACATCACACGACCAATCTATCCGGTCTGCCCATTCACCGTCATCCAGCTTGCTATCGAGAGCAAAGAAGCATTGAATCCATTTGCAGAGCCAAAGGAAATCGTTGGGCTCTATATCGTCATAGACAAAGCCGATATACTCAGAGAATTTGGCCGCCATACACGATTGCCACATACTTGGACCCAGCTCCTTATCTATGCTCAAAGAAACGATCCAGTCATTGATAATGTCCTCGCACTGGGCAGCCAAGGGGTTGAGTCGGGCCTTCGGGTAACGGTGCTGGAAATCTGGGACTCTGTACTGGTTATCAGGACTGCTGCAGATGTCATTTCTGTACAGGTCGCTCTTCGACTGCCTTATAAATCGTCCTTGTCTGAAATCAGATCTGATGCTCAAGACTATAGAATCTGAGTCTAAACTTGGGGCCATCGTTCCGAGTGAAGCTATTCTGACTACAAGCTGTGTCGAAGTAAGAGAATCAGTCGACAACGTCAGTGATCTACGGACGAACTCCTTATATACATAAATCTCTACACGACAGAAGATCATAAAATTTATTCATCTTAATGTTTGGTCAACAACAACAACTAATCTGATGATTAACCTGCATATTTTTTTCTACGCGCTACCCATCGTACGGTATATCTTACCTGTGGTTTAAGATTTTTTGAAACATTAAATAATCGTAAATAATTTCAACACCAAAATCTTGCAATCACCGTGGGCGGCGCAAAAGGACTTGCTGCATGGGGCGGTGGAAAAAGTAAAAAGAAACACTACTACGGAAAACGTAGAAACTTTTTTTTTTTTAATGACGTTTTGATAACTTCTTTCTCACATATGGATCGGAGAGGACAATATCAGAAGTATCAAGAACCAGTGTACGCTGAATGTGTATACACATTGATTTACAACCTCACTGACCATCATGATGATCACATTTATCATTGATTCCAATTCCAATTCAGAGGGAGACCAGTACGACGAACATAGAACCTCTGGTCGCGAAGTAAGCGAGTAAATTCTTGCTCTGTATACCACAATATGAGATGTACTTCTTACTCAAACCAATAAGAGCAGCTTACACGCAATCCGTGTAGTCACATTTGGGGCAGTTTGGCCGAGGATTATAGCAGCATTTTTCGCTCTCCGGGCATCTGTTATCAAGAAGCAGGAAGGCTGTGTCAGGTGGAAGTTCCTTTCAGGTCACAGCATAGGAACAAACTTCACATCTTAATGAAGAAAAGTTTTCTGACGCCCTGGAAACATTATTGCCAATGTTCAAAATGCATTTGGGGCAGCTTGGTCTAGGATTATCGCAGCATGATCCGCTCTGCGGGCATCTGTTATTTTGGAAGCATGAAGTTTAGTCAGATGCAATATGCTTTTCGCAGGCAGCATAATGGTTATTGCAAACTCTGCGAAAATGATCAATATCTGGAGTCACAGAGGAACCCGTTTCTTACACACAGTCTGTGTCATTGCATATTGCGCATATATCCGGTAAAGTCTCGCAAGCCATTCTGTTAGCTTGAATATAGTTCTGACTTAGAGATTTATGTAAAAGGGATTGGTTGCAATCAGCCGAGGTTGGCGAGGAAATTATGAAAAGCTACGGTGATAATGAAATTCAGGCTTTGAATGAAATTTGGAACGTGGAACTAGAACGTGTCTGGAGGCGATAGGAAGAATAGTATGACAATGGTGAATCAGATCTATCGAGAGGAAATGTGCAGTGATCTTAGTCCTCTGAAAAGCTTGCTCATATACTTGCGGTACTGCGTTCTGGTTCAGATAAGACTCTTGGATCTTTTACGCTGCATGTCAGTTAATATGTATTGTTCGTTGATGAAGCAATTGGTGAGACTTCCACGAAGTTGGAGGTAATTTTTGTCGGTAGTTCCCTTTTATCAGGCGTCTGGTAGTTTCCCATGGAATACTCCGATTGCTACATTTTTTTTCAGCTGTAGTTTCAGAGATCCATAATGTCCACAGCCGAGAGTAGTATAACAATGACAATAGAGGTTGAATACCAAGGATATATTATCTTTTCTAGAAGATGACGAGAAACTTTGAACTTAGTCTTTGTTTCCAGCCTATACATAGAGGGCTAAAGAACGTGGATCACTATCTCACGTGGATCACTTCATCACTATCACCATCGTGCTCCTCGGTGGCCAATTGCAGTTGAAGAAATCTGATGAGATTCTGTCTCTCGCTGTCTTCCAGCATCGGCAGCCCTCTCGAAAGATCCTGCTGGATATCGTCCGCGATCAGATCCACAGACTCTCGTGCCAGAGCGAAGGCTTTGTCATGGCAGCCAATGGCGTCCTCGTAGAAGAGGTAGAGGTCGACGATGAGCTGCAAGCTCTGGCGAGAAGACGGCCTCAAGTGCTCGAGCGCAAGTTCGTGGGCTCGCTCGAGCGAGCACTGGGCCAGCGATTCGTACTCGTCGGAGGAGGAATCGAACTCCGCGAGGTGACGCTGGAAGTCGGCCTTGGCCCTCCACCAGAAGATTTGAGCTTCTCCCGCTCTGGCCTTGCGTAGCACGTGGCCATCGACGAGGCCCAGAAAGCTCTGACAAATATCTCTCATCTCGCTCTCGATCTTCGCTCTGAGCTCCGCGGCAGCAGCCACATGAACCTCATCGCCGCCCTCGAGGGCCTCGTTCCGCTGGATGCGGCAGATGGTCCTCCATTGCCTGAGGCGCGAGGCGATCTGATCATCGTAAGCTCTGTAGAGCAAGTCGCGCTCCTCCTCGTTCAGCTGCCGCAGGTGGCTGCACTGCGCGACTCTCTTCATCGCGCTCACCATGTCCTCGCCCCTGTCGAACAATTGTGCGAATTTCGCCGCCATCACGTTCTCCTCTCTCTGCCTGTCGGCGTGCTGAGGAATCCGAATGGGTGGCGGTCTGGGCAGCAGCTCCATCGAGGCTCCCAACTCCATCGTCTCTCCCTCGCTCGTCTACTCTCAAAATCAGATCTCGCTTATCTTCCTTGCCCAGCGACCCAAAATCCGATCCAAATCGAAACAATGGCTCGCAAATAATTCAATCGGCAGGTGGCTTTCCAGTCTCCAGCTGATGCAATCCAGCGCAGTCGACTTGCTTCTCGAGCTCATTCGAGCGATCCTTAACGACGCCCGAACGAGATTCCCGAGCCAATGACTCTCTTAACGGTAACACTTGTGACCAGTATTTGAGCTTGAGCCAAGGGTGGGAGAAAGATGTTGGTTTCAAGTTTTAAAAAACCTAGTTTTACAGTGGATAGTTTTTGTTCAGAACATTTTTCAAATTTTCAAAAACATTCTTTCAAAAAAGAAAATGTTATCTACTGAACGTTTAGAAGATGTAATGTAAATGTTTAAGAACATTTACAGTAGATGGATTGGAAGACTCCAACGAGGGCGGGAGGAAGGGGCATAGGGAATGTGAGTGAGATGAAACCAGTCGCTAGAGTGAGACCCTAGGAGAACGCGTTATATATCCTCCTCTAATTTTTTATTCGAAATTTCTCAAGAAAATAGTCCAACAAGCATCTAACACCACATAAAACTAGTGTTATTGTTATCACTTGAAGTTAAAATGTTTAATAATTAAGTTTCTGAGTCTCTTTGTACTGGATAATAACACTCTGATATTTCTCTAATAGCAGTAATGATAACTAATATATCTCCGATATATTCAAAAAATATTTACCAACTTTTTCGATATAATTTCAGCAAAATTATTTTAAAGACTTAAACATAGATTAAAAAAAATTATCTTTCAAAAATATCACTTTCTGCATCAAAAAGAAAAATCTAAGGAAAAAAGGTTTTACTTTATTATGAGGAGTTAATATTCAGTCAAACGATTGTGAGTTTATGTTCTACTCAATTTCATCTAGTCAAATTCTGAATCAAATAACATACATGTTAACTTTGATACAAGATACAATATCAAGCCTAAGAGTAGAGTTTATGGGTTCATGAGACCCATGCAAACAATCTTTAATATTTGAAGTATGAGTCCTGATTTCTATGAATTGTTTGAAGAAAGTAGCATAATTAAGATTGGCGCAGAAGGTAAAATACAAATGCCTTTTGACATTATGAGATTTGCAACAAATAATAGTGAGCACAACGAGCCAGCCTATTCTTATGAAACCACTGTCTGCACCAATTTTTTGAGTTCAAGAGAATATTTGAATGCCTCCATCGACTTTATAGCATGTACATGTAGCTGATTGAAATATTTGATTGCACACAAATAGACCTACGGAGGTTAGAAGAATTTTACTCATTAGAAGATTTGATTCCTGTTGATAATAGGATTTGCATAGGTTGGAAACGCTACTAAGATATGCTCTGTGTATACAAAGGAGTATATCTAAAAACTTCACATCTTTCTGCCATTTCAAGAGTTCATCATCGCATCTTAAAATAGATAAAATGAATGCTTTAGAAAGTATTTCTTCCAATTTCCTTCGTCTAAAGTAGATTCAATCATGGATTTCTCCTAATTGGAATTCATGAGCTTGAGCTAGATGCAAACAGAAGTAAGAAATATAGTGATATTGGCTAAAACCTCATCTTGGAATCAACGATGTCAGGTCCTTTGTTATTAAAAATAAGATCGTCCTATTGTAAACATTGTCGCAATCATGCCTTGTGGGTGGGTTATGTGTGTATGTTTGAACGAAAATTGGCTGCATATCCGCTATTCTGACGATGACTCTCCAGAGCAATAAACAAACTATAACTCACATTTCTACTTTTGAAAAAAAAAAAATCAATTGATTCTCTTTCGAGTTACCTTGAGATCTGCTACAACTTTGAAATTTTCGTTTATTATCGTTGGTACGCATCACATTTATCAAGCATATATTATGTGCAAGAGGTGGTCATCACTACACGTTAATCATTTTGGTTGTCCTCACCTACACTACACATGGACATAAATCAATCCACACTCCACAAAGTGCTCATGATTTCGTATCAAGTTTTCAAAGAAGTCTAGTGTGATTTTTCTGTTTAACCATATTTAGATTATAGATTAGATATATAGATTTTGTCGTCAGAATTCACTGACAGTGAATTCTGACGACAAAAACGGCTCGAGATCTGTTCATAAGAAAGGCCAATTTCAAAGGATTTTCGAACACTTTGGAATCGGCCTTTCCTTCCAGACGGATAACCTCCAGTATTGTACAAATCAACGAGTGTCATCCTGCACTTCAGAATTATCAAGTTTATCAAGCTCATCATAATCTAGACTTCTGGTCCAAACATAACTTTGCGCTGAAGCTTCTGCATTGATCTCTCTGGCCCTCGAAAGTGAAGCATGGAGATATTTCATTGGCTTTATGCAGGCACTGTTGTGGAACCAATGGACACTAGATTATTCTAACTTTTGCCAACTGTGATCTGACAGCCAGTATATCGGTGAGTTCTGGCAACCTGTCGGATGATGTGACTCTTGCTCCTGCATATATTCTGGCTTCTTACTTATGTATGTTCATGTTAGACTTCAAGGAGATAATGTCAGCTCCTTCGACAGGAAAGTTTCACCGATTAAGCTACTCGGATGTATAAATCTATGATGTATAATTACGTGATTTTTAAAAAGTGGAAAGGTTAACCGCATGGATAATTTCAAGCTAAATGACTTGGGTCCCTCAAACGCTTAACTTTGAACTCGATCATTCTGGTCTACATCATACCCTTAGCTTTTTCCTGGATATATGAAATATAGGTTAAATTAAGATGATTTAGAATCTTATGAATCCGAAGGTGTTTACAAAATTTGGAAGAATGTACGAGGGAAGATGTCATTAGACTCACTGATCACTACACTCATAGTATATTATGTCCTAGATTCTGATACATTCATTCTTCCAAATTCCCTAGGTACTTTCATAGTTATAAGATTATAAATTATTGAGTTCATTCATCTACACATCGATGTATAACCACAGTTCGCAGGAAGAAAATTTCGACCATTTAAAATGACGCAAATGAAGTAAAAGAAATTAAAACTTCTTATATGCACTATCTCTCTTCTCAATTTACAAAGCTTTCTGAATAGTCTGAAAGAAAAACGGAGTTCCGAGCCTTTCAATCTCGCAAGTAGGTCTTATAAATACACAGGGCATGTGCGCTCAGGATCAGTAAGACGACGTACTTGAAAAAAATTATTATAATATATCAACAAACTCCATTAGACTCTTCTTTCAATTCTCTTGTGCTTGCTCCGATGACTTTTCATGCTCGACAACCATAGAGTCGCTAGATCCCTCTCCAACATTATATCCTGGGTCTTCAGTACATGCCCATCTGCTAGATCCCGCGCCACAGACATAAGATCGTCCAGGATCTTTGATGTCTGCAAATCTCCCGGATCCGACCCCAACTGTGTTTTCAGCTCCTTCATCACTCTCCACATCCTCCTCGGATTGTTGCAAAAGTTCAATTTCCTCACGGAGATGTCTCATTAAGGTTTCGCTTTCCTTCATTTTCAATTTTTTCCCTGTTCTGGATATCCTCATGAATTCCGATTCTGCTAGATCCAAAGCCTCTTGAGCCACCGTCAGAGCTTTTTCAGGAGAATTTTTCACTTCGAGGTAGAAGATGAAAAAGTTGACCGCGAGGTGCAAGCGCTGCGGATTCAAAGGGCTCAAGTGCTTGGACGCGAGCTCTTGAGCTCGCTTGTAAGAAAATTCTGCTACGATTTTGTGTTTGTGGCTCGAGCTCAATTCTGCAAGGTATCGCTGGAAGTCGGCCTTGGCCCTCCAGCAGAAGACCTGAGGCTCTCCTATGCCCGCCGCTCTCAGTACATGATCATCGATGAGGCCTATGAAGGTCTCGCAGATGTCTCTTATCTCGGACTCAACTTTGGCGATGAGTTTTCTGACAGCAGCCAGATGCATCTGGTTACCCTTGCTCGTTTCCTCCCTCTCGATTTCACGCAGAATCCTCCACTGCTTCCGACGTGAACTGATCTGATTTTTGTAGGCCTTGTAGAGCAAGTTGCGTTCCTCGGCGCTGAGGTCCCGGAGGAAACTCGACTCGGCGACGGCTTTCATGGCGGCGACCATATCATCGTGGCGGCTGAGTTTGTCTGCAAGCTCTGCAGCGAACACGTCTCTACTTCTCTGCACGCCGAGGCGGCGGAGAGCTGAATCTTTGGCGCTCTGAGAACTGAGCAGAGGCTTCGGGAGAATCCGTTCCAGAAAGAATTCAGATCGCTTCAGCATTTTGTCCCCTTTCAGCAGCAGCCATGGACGTGCTTCTACTCTCGAGCAGCAAGTGAGTGCTCAGAGAAATTTTCTGCTGGACTCAGACAACCATAACTCGAGAGATGACGATGATGAGTACGAGGCCACGAGCCACGAGATGATTATTCTCATGATTTCCGTTCAGACTGATGTTCAATTTTGTTCGAGACCTACTCGTCCACTGCCCATTGCTACAAGAGCTTTGCCTCCTCAACACTCCAGTTTCAATGATCGAGAACGTCGTCTCTTCGTTAGTTATTGACTTCAGCTCATTCTCATCTCGAGACATTCAGTTGAGACTCAATCTCTTCACACTCGCAAGCAACGAATGTTTTTTAGAAACAACGTCAAGTGTGAGTAAATCGAACGATCGTTTCATTAGGTAGTCAAAACGGACATTTGTGTTTTGGATGTTCAAATGTGCACGATTCACCGGATCGTCGAACATGCAGTTAAATGCAAGCTACCCACTTTCCAAAACACACAAATCAACGACTATATTTACATATTAACGGATGTCAATGAGTAATTGGTTTCCTAATATCTCCAAATATATTCAAGTCAATCGAGCATTTTTCAAGTTTGAAATCTCAAGTACTCTTAATTTTTCCTTTTTTGAGATGATTATCACCCGTAGTTTTAATTTTGACACATATACTTTATATATTTTAATAACACATGTCATTTTTCCATTATATCAATTATCTATATGTGATAGAAAATTATCGGGAATGAATTCCACTCCTCTCGCAATATCGCATGTAATTGAAGTATTTGAATTTTGATTATTTTTTAGCACTAGTCATAGCATTTATTATTGACATCTAGAATTCTTTTATCACTTTATTTAGCAATGAAATTATATAGACTAAGTTATAATATGTATGTAAAACAAATTAAATAAGGTATTATATTATGTGAATGTAAAAATTTATTTTATGTAACATTTTTTCTATAATTGTATTTTATTTCTAATCAAACTCTCTATAATATATATAATTTTAATACAAATATATTATGTGATGTGATATGTCTCGCACAAAAATTTAAACTTTTGTTTCGTATTATACTAATTTTTTGTACATTATGATGAATAAAATAATTTTCAAATACTTTAATATGCGGAAAAAATAGAATTTAAATATGATTGTTAATTCAATATAAAATAATGAGTATTCAAGTTCAAATTAATAATGTCATGGTAGAATTCTAAGATATAGAATTTTATATTTTATGGAAAAAAAAATATGATAATTATGTACAAAAATTAACAATTCATTTTGTCTACTGTGTTGATCAAAATACTAGTTAAAATCACAAGAAAAAAAACTGACATGAGAGTACGCAAGAGAGTATATGTACATCTACCGATTGGGTACGTTCACAAAAACACAAAGAGATAAATGTTTCGCTCGACGAAATCATTCGCCGCGCACAGACAATCCGGGTTAAATCCTCATTTGACTGAGCTAGTACATTGCATCCACCTCCAACAACGCTAAATAGTACCTTCATCATCAGCTTCTGACTTGGATTATCGCTAATAACACATATAGGGGTAATAGCACCCTTATTAGTCCATATGAAAATTGTACTATAACTACTTAAAGAAAGGGAACCTAACAAAATGCACCACTTTAAACTAGAGTTAGCTAGATTTAAATCCTAATTGTAATAAAAATATACAACTGTAACTTGAAATTTCTAGTTAAATTTATTTATGCTCTTCATGCAAAAACTACACAATGTCTATTACAGCTCTCCAAAAGAATAGCTTCGTTCTATCTTGAGTTTATCGTCAATTTTGTCTGGTTCAATATTTTTATCAAAAACATACATGTTTTATAAAATGATATTTGATCTAAATGTGTTCACTCATGTTCATCATTTGATTTACACCAAGATGTAATGCATTCTAGCTATCAAAGTGAAGATTGATAAAAAAGAGCTTTTGATCTAATCAAATAGCTTTTTGTTATTGTTACATACTCAGTTCCCGTTATAAACTAAATTGAATTATACATTTTGCAAGATAGTTTTCCAACTAATGCATCAATCATCCAATGTGAACACATATTCAATTGTAGATTTTTTGTTCCAAATCTTGTTACTAGTTAGTATCAATGTAGTCTAACAAAGATTTGGCGTTGTTTTATAAAACATCAAACAATACATCACATTTCTTACATCCCTTTTTTTACATTTTTTTATAAAACAAATATATTCTTTCTTTCAAGATTAACGCAATGTCAACACCAGGCTCTGTATCAAATGTCACAGTTTTCAAGAATGTATGAAATAATCCATAACTTGTAGTAATTTTATTAATTCGATTTGATGATTTTCTAATAGAAAAATTTGATTTATCTTTATGATCTAGTGTAGATACGTAAGGTTCACCAACAATAACATATTACTCAAATTTTTGTTGCTAAAAAATCTGCTCTTTAAAAAAATTTCTTTTTTAAAATAGGGAGCATGAAAATTCTTTTTCTCTTTTAATCATACAGACAGTAAATTTACAGGCTATTGGATTCCCGACCTTATAACCTTTCATATCACTAGGATATCCAAGAAAACGAATATGATCAAGTTGTATTTTAAGATCCAAATTGATCTTATTCTTCTTGGATATGAAGAGTATAAGCAATATAATCAAAATTTCTGATACGATTATAATCAATCATACGTTTGTGATTCAGTTCAAACCATGTCAAAATATTAATTATACAAAAAATAAAGATTTAACAAATACATTTTGGTATTTACAAGCTTTAATCCAAAATTCATATGCAAACTAGATCAACTTTACATACCACGCACCTTCATAGTCATTCACTCCAAAGATGTGATCATAGCTCCCACTTCCATAACCGTTATCATCAAGCATTATTGTCATAATCACTTCCACCTCAGTTGTCATTCTTTTGAGCATCATATCCTCCACTTATTCCATAACTAGTTGTCTAGTACCCTGCATAGCCATCTCTTTTTCCAAGATTCAGACCATAACTATTTTCTCCTCTTTCATCGTATCTACCTGGGCTAGAACTATAATCCTGACCGTAATCACTGCCGTAGCTATCATCATGTCCACCACCACTGAAATCCGCAATGTTACAACCGGAACCATCATAGAACTCTTTTGATATGGCATGTTTGACTTCCACCATCTTCTCCTTGAACTCATAGATTGATTTTTGAAGAACGTTATCAACAATGTCTTCCGAATCAAAGGTGATAAAACCAAAGTCGCGAGGCCTTTGTATGTTGTGATCATACATGACAACAACATCAGTGATGATACCAAATTGCTCAAAATACTCTTTGAAGTCGTACTCCGTCAGATTAGATGTTAAGCCACCAACAAATACTTATTAGTACTAGTATGACTAATCGGACCCAATCATCACTACTACTTCTGGAATATTTTGGTTGTTCATCCCTGGACACAAACTTCTTCGCTTCGAGCGTTCTCCCGTCGATAATGTGCGTCTTGTTGACAACACGATCGGCTATAGCGGGATCCGCAAAAATGACAAAACCAAAACCACGAGCACATCAGTTGCCCGATCTTTCATGATGACCGTTTCATCGACCTCCCCATACACTTTGGACTTATCTCGCAGTTTATCTTCATGATATTCCTCAATAAAGAACTTACCTTGATCTGTGTTCATATAAGACGACCCACTAAAACCGGTTCAATTTTAACAACCCAAGAGAAATACAAAAAGGTTGGCACACTGAAAATTCAATCACTCTCTATGATTGATCCACACCAACGGTACTCAAAGAAAATCCAATCACCAATACTATGATTTGTCGTCTAGTCCAACGATTATGATAATCTTTTGATGCACAAAAGACCAAATTGAGCAACCTGAAACTGAAACTAACACTACTCGCCGCCTCCAAACAACTCCACGCATTGAAACTGATCTGGAAGTCCGCCGCCTTCATTCTGCGCGTTGTGCCTCTCCGCATTGAGTTCTTCCTTCTCCACGTACCCATCGAGCTTTGTCGAACTGCTCTTCTGCAAATTTTGGCGACGAAAGTGTTGCCGCCTTGTGCTCAGGTTGTTGCTTTTGGCCATTCTCTCGTGCTCCGATTGCATCTCAATCCGTTTCAAATGCATTTTTATTGCGTCTCAATCCGAGTTCGTTTCTCCTTGCCTCTCCGTTCTGCTTCCCTTCCGTCGAATTGCCACAAATTTTAGACTGAGATGAAGTAAGGGATCTCTTGAAGCTCTTGCTCGCTCCGAGTCTCCCTCGTTCGGCATCGTCGTTCACGTTCAAATTTAATTTGCGATTGGGAGCGAACATAGCGCCGACGGAGAGCCGAAAATCCTAATGCGGTGAATTGCCACGGCGTCTCGCTTCGCTCATTCGCTCCGGTCGCCGAACTTGAAATTGGACAATTGATTTCTTGACTTTCATTCACACAATTTTCCATTTTCATTCACACGCTGTCTTAAGCTCTGTTTGAATTCTACGGTAAAATCACAAGAGAAGATGCAGATGTGAGAATAAACGTGGTTCACCTTTCTTTTTGTGGTCCAGGGAACACAAAAATAAAATGTTTGTTACAGCTTCCAGAGGTAGTGTAGTGTTTCACTCAAATTCGATGACATATCTTGGCATAGAGTCACAACTTTGAGGTTCAAGGCTCCACGAGGGACTCATCCTGCTCAAGAGGATCCTCCAAAATAGGTACATCCTCCATAATCCCGTTCCTCTTAGCTGATGCTAGTATCAGTTCTCCATCCTTGCCACTTGCACTGCCCAGTCCGAGGCAATTTTCTTGGAATGAAAATATGGTGAATTTTCAACATCAAATCATGAGCAGGATGAACTTTCATGCCCAATGTCATCATGACCATGGAGCTTCCTGTATGAATGAATTCCGGGAGATTATTATTTCTGCTTATATTGTCGAAATATCGAGTTGGCTAAACTTGTGTCATCATTGCTGGTCTCAAATGCAGAAAATATTTTACGTACACATTCTTTAGCAGCTCTGTTGCATCGATTTTGTAAGTAGCAAATCCTGAAATGGCCCTCGCTCCTGGACCCGCTCCAGTCAAGCCAGTACCTCTTGGTTACCAGACCACTGGCGATGGTTCTGCAGTACCTGATTGGCTCAACAAAGGGGACAATGTTTGGCAGCTGACGGCGTCCACCCTCGTAGGCTTGCAATGTATTCCGGGGCTGATGATTCTGTACGGGAGTATAGTGAAGAAGAAATGGGCCATCAATCAATTCGGCGTTCATGTCCCTCTACGCATTCGCAGCAGTGCTCATCTGCTAGGTGTCATGGGCCTTCAGAATGTCCTCCGGAGAGGAGCTCATCCCTCTGTGGGGAAAAGCCGGACCTGCTCTGGACCAGAAATTCCTGCTGAAACAAGCTGATGTCCCGGCCACCGGAACGGATTATTTTCCTCCGCTCGCCCCCATGTACCCCATGGCGACCCTGGTTTACTTCGTGTTTGCAGCCATCACTCTGGTCTTGATTGCAGGCTCCTTGTTGGGTCGAATGAACTTTCTCGCGTGGATGCTATTCGTTCCCCTCTGGCTCACCTGCTCCTACACCGTCGGGGCCTTTAGCATGTGGGGTGGCGGATTTCTCTTCCAATGGGGCGTCATAGATTATGCTGGTGGCTATGTGATCCACGTCTCAGCTGGAGTGGCCGGTTATGTGGCTGCATACTGGGTACGCCTAAAACCTCATGCCTCTCGCACGATCTCATCTCAGAATCCTTTTGAATCCAATGCAAGCATTTTCTTCTAGCTGGTAGGGGAGCGATATTCATGTTTGAGATGGTACATATTCGTTTTTTCCATTTTCATTCACACGCTGTCTCAAGCTCTGTTTGAATTCTACGGTAAAATCACAAGAGAAGAAGCAGATATGAGAATAAACGTGGTTCACCTTTCTTCTTGTGGTCCAGGGGAACACAAAAAAAATTTGTTACAGCTTCCAGAGGTAGTGTAGTGTTTCAATCAAATTTGATGACATATCTTGGCATAGAGTCACAACTTTGAGGTTCAAGGCTCCACGAGGGACTCATCCTGCTCAAGAGGATCCTCCAAAATAGGTACATCCTCCATAATCCCGTTCCTCTTAGCTGATGCTAGTATCAGTTCTCCATCCTTGCCACTTGCACTGCCCAGTCCGAGGCAATTTTCTTGGAATGAAAATATGGTCAATTTTCACGACATCAAATCATGACCAGGATGAGTTTAGGGTGAGCTTCTTGTTTGAATGACTTTCTTGAGATTATTTTTCTTTCCTTGTTTTGCTAGTGTCCGAATATTGTCGGCTAAACTTGTGTTATCATTGCTGGTCTGAAATGCAGAATATATTGGACATACACATTCTAGAGCAGCTCCATTGCATCGATTCTGTAAGTACCAAATCCTGAAATGGCCCTCGCTCCTGTCAATCCAGTACCTCTAGCTTACCAGACCAGTGGCGATGGTTCTGCAGTACCTGATTGGCTCAACAAAGGGGACAATGCTTGGCAGGTGACGGCGTCCACCTTGTAATAACCCACCAAAGGCTAAAACTGCAGTATGGTGGTAAAAAGATCGAACCCACAGGGACAGAGGCAACACACCGAGTAAAAGTGTCACGTTTAACAGACTTTTGTAGAGTTTGAATTCTCAGGCGACTGTCACTCCCAGAAATACTGCAGTGCTCGACTCGGAGGCTCGACTCGGAGGAGGATCTCGACTCGGAGGATGCTCGGAGGATGCACGGTACAGCGTAGTCACTCAACACACACACACACACACACCTGAAACTGGCAAAAGCACAACTCGGAGGTCGGTCAGGACCTCCGCTTCGGATTTCAGGAGGAAAGTGTCTCAAAAGTTCACTCAGAGGTTCTGCAGGTAGTGACTCCCACTTCGGCTTTTACTGCCCTTCCGCCAGGAACTAGCGGAGGGTACCCAGACTGGACTTCCCACTTCGGAACGAAGCCTCTTCATACGCCGTGGACGTCACCCTCGACTCACACCAAACGCAGGGAGTACAGGCCCGACTGAGAACTTAACTGAGACACAATCCAGTAACACACACACACAACCTGAATTGCAAACCAAGGCTTACACGAAGTAATAAAACTTCACTTTGGCATTCAGGGGAAACTTCCCGTAGGAGTAAAATCAGGATATGTCACTCGAAGGAGTAAGGGGGAACTGTTCAAGTATCTAACTCGCAGCCGGCTCTGAGCATCAGAAATCACCCGCAGGTGCAGATCCGCACTACTCAAGTCTCTAACCGGGTACTAGCTCTGAACATTCAGCCGAAGGCCTTCAACTACAACATACGGTAACTTCGCTATGCTGCAGCTTCTCTACGTGGTGCCAGTACCAAAAATGCACAAACACGTCAAGAAAGTGAGTTCCTGATCTGCACTTCCGAAACTGGAAGAGTCCCAGGGCAAAACGCCTTGAACTACTTTATACCTTCTAAGGTCCTAACTAACACTACACTACCCGCTAGGGTGCGAGCCGCAACAGATCCTACACCTGAGGAGTCGGCGGCTACCTTCCCCTCTAACTTACAACCTAAATCTAACCCTAACCCTAAATCTGAATCCTAAGCCTACTGTACAGAGCCGCCAGCGTCTTTACATCCGAGATCTGAGGCTGAATATTTGCAGGCATGCGTGGCCGACTGAGATCAACGGCCCCATCAAATTTCAGATCCATCCGACCGTCCATCGCAAAGATATGGACTCCGCAAGATCTCTGAACCGCATCCGGTTTGCCGACCTCGAGTTCGCCGACTCCGAGTTTGCCGACTTGAAGTTCGCCGACCTCGAGTTCGCCGACCTCAAGTTCGCCGACTCCGAGTTCTCCGAAGGCGTTGACCGCCGAAGACGCACTTCCGCACCTTTGCCTATTTGTAACAGTCAATTCCGACACCCATAACTCACAGATCCTTGATCCGTTTCAAGAGTTCTTGGGCTCGTTGGAACGAGCGCGTCGAGTTCTTTCTAACGAGACCCTAACTGAGTCAAACCGTTACGAGTTGAAAGAGTTATGCCGGTTTTATCCTTCGCCAAAGGCACACTGTCGAAGGCTTGTTATCTGTTATCGCCGAAGGCGCCTGCACGATGTTTCGCCGACTCCGAGTTCTCTGACCTCAAGTTTTCCGACTTGAAGTTCGCCGACCTCGAGTTCGCCGACCTCAAGTTCTCCTACCTCGAGTTCTCCGACTTGAAGTTCGCAGACCTCGAGTTCGCCGACCTCAAGTTCTCCGACCTCGAGTTCGCCGACCCCGAGTTTGATGTTTCGCCGACCTCGAGTTCGCCGACCTCAAGTTTGCCGACTCCGAGTTTGCTGAATTGAAGTTCGCCAACCTCGAGTTCGCCGACCTCAAGTTTGCCAACTCCGAGTTTGTTGACTTGAAGTTCTTTGACCTCGAGTTCGCCGACCTCAAGTTTGCCGACTCCGAGTTTGCCGACTTGAAGTTGACCCGAAGACGTCCGTCGCGGAAGGCGAACATCCAGGGCCGAAGGTGGATATTCTGCCGACGACGAACTCCTTCCGCCTATCCGTAGGCGTTCTCCTTCGCATCTTCCGACAATCACAACTCCCTGAGTCCTCATCCGTTCCAGGCGTTCTTGGGCTCGTTAGAACGAGCGCGTTGAGCTCTTTTCAACGAGACCGTAAGTAACTCAAGGCGTTAAGAATTGAGGAAGTTATGAGTGATCTACCGCCGAAGGTGCTCGAAGCAAGTCCTGCAGCGTGAACCGCCCGTTCCATTCCAAGCGTTCCACTGTGGCCTAAGCCCAAAACCCCTTGACTGTCCTCGATCCTCTTTTTACTCTGGCTTTGCGTACCGATTACTATTTACAGCTGCTACCACGGTACTTACTAATCAAAAATGTTTTAGTTCCGGCGAAAAACAAAAAGTGGGTTACCACACACCTTAGTAGGCCTGCAATGTATTCCAGGGCTAATGATTCTGTACGGGAGTATAGTGAAGAAGAAATGGGCCATGAACTCGGCGTTCATGTAACTTTACGCCGAATGATATAAACTATAATGAGGTATGGCTTTGTGATAAAATAGATGGAAAATAACTAAATATATATAAGGAGGGGGTGTTCCACCACTATTTGTTTTTTTTATTTCTATTCACTCCTTGCAGGGAGCGATTAGCAATCGCGAACATGTTAATAATACTCTCTAGTTATTGGAAAGCATTAAAATAGGTCTGACTCTAGTGTGAGTAAGCGTTGAAATCAGTATGACCCTTGTGTGCCGAAGAAATTTGAAATCAATTTTGTCTCGTTGCTTGATCATCGTTCTTAACTATTGTTTTGGACGTGTATCATTCAGAATAGCTTAAAGTCGCAAACTTTGAGATTATCTTCTTCTAGTGGTGAAAGTTTATCAATGTCTTTCACTTGGTTCTTCATGAAAACATCTTGAAGCACCCTAGAAACGCTCGAACTAGTGTACAATCCCTTGAAATTTACACTGAAAGTGTTTTCAGTGTTTAGTGGTTCATGCTGTAACACAATAATATATTTAGTTTTTATCTTTATAGTATGATTTGTTTGTAGACACAAATGATTGCATGACTTTATAAGTATTATTTTTTTGAATGTATATTCTTGTATTTTCTATTCTGATGATTTTTATATGATATATTATTGTGTTACGGCATGAGCCACTAAACACTGAAGACACTTTCAATGTAATTTCAAGGAATTGTACACTGGCTTGAGCGATTCTAAGGTGTTTCAAGATATTTTCATGAAGAACCAAGTGGAAGACATTGATGAACTTCCACCACTAGAAGAAGATAATCTTGAACTTCCACCACAAGACATTGACTGGAAATATTTTGATAAGCAGTCAGATTTTGTCTTGCCATCTATTTTGAAAAACTTCTGCCACTAAACATCGACTTCGTATCTATTATGAATCAACTTCCACAGCTAGATACCGACTCCAAAAATTGCATGAAAAATGAGATTTGATGGAGAAGGTTGACCAAAACCTCCAGCTCTCTATGACTTTCTGAATATATTGACATGTTAGTATATTCCGAAAAGTATGGATTAGTCAGTTTTGCCAATCCCCCTAATCTAGCTCTGGCCTTGAAGGAAATCAACGGTAAGTTTAAGGCTCTATGCTGCAATGAACAAGACGCAAAAATTATTTGATTTCAAGTGAACTTTTTGCATCTTCTTCAATGTCAAGTTGTGTATTTTACTTTGTGTTTCATCTACACAGTGTATATTAATCTTTTGTGTGTGAACTTTTATTGGAACTCACAGAAAAAGTGCGTGGATAATAGACCTATCAAAAGTACATGGAAGCAAAGGACAGACCAGGAAGCATTTGACAAACAAAAGGTAGTGCTGATGAAGTAGTTTGAGATCTTTTTGGTCCTAAGAATGTCAAGTGAAAGCTTATATTTGCTAAGGGTTTTAGTTTTGAACTTGTTTGATGTTGAGGTCTAGATCCGTGGCTGGCTTTAATCTAATGTTTTCTGTAACATAGAATTCAAAGAGGCAAAAAGACTCAAAGAAGAACATTCTCAACAAGTAGGATCACACTCGAATTCACACTTCTGTGGTTCTTTGCCCAAAATCATCTTCTCCTGGCAGGATTAGCATCCGTGTTCAAAAGAAGAAATGACGAGTGCAGGTTATGATGATGACTCTTTCAACCTTTTGTTATGACCTTTTTATCGTCCGGTCATTTTCCACACTACTTTACATGTTGGAGCTATGTTTGAAGGAATTTTTTCGGGTTCAGTGC